ATGAGGCTTTCTGCTCCCATAAAGACTTATAGCCTCAGAAACCCTGTGCAGAGTTGCTATGAGCTGGAACTGACTCAACAGCATTTAACAACAACAACAACTTACGAAGTCTAATACTTATGTGTAAGTAGGTTAAGTCTACGTTCCTGGAGAGAGATGTGCACCACTGTCAACATTTGGAAGTGGGCATATAGCTGCCCAACAAACTTTCCTCTAATAAAACCAACCAAAACCAAACCTGTTACTCTTGAGTCAATGCTGACTCATGGCAACCCCATGTGTTACAAAGTAGAACGTCTCAGGGGATTTTCTTTATGGAGAAAGATGAAGCTGTCTGCTTTCATAAAGAATGATGTTCCCGGAAACCTTATAGAGAGAGAGGGTCACTGCGAGTTGGAATCAACTCCACAGCAATGGGTGAGGTTTAAGTCTTTATGAAAGCAAATTGCGTGGTTTCTTTTCCAGAGCACCACTGGGTTCTAACTGCCAACCTTTAGCTTAGTGGTTGAACACAAAATATTTGTGCCATCAGTAAAACTCGTCAGTAAACCACAGCAAGGTGCTCTAGGGGGCTGGATCCCACAGCTTCTCTGTCTCTGTTTATTCACAAGTCGTGGTCTCATTACAGGCCAGGAGTCTGGAGCAATGGGTGACTGGAGCTTCCTGGGAAGACTGCTGGAGAATGCACAAGAGCATTCCACAGTCATTGGCAAGGTCTGGCTGACGGTGCTGTTCATCTTCAGAATCTTGGTGCTGGGAGCTGCTGCAGAAGAAGTCTGGGGAGATGAACAGTCTGACTTTACTTGCAACACGCAGCAGCCAGGCTGCGAAAATGTCTGCTATGACCAAGCCTTCCCCATCTCCCACATTCGCTTCTGGGTGCTACAGATCATCTTCGTCTCCACACCCACCCTCATCTACCTGGGACACGTGCTGCACATTGTACGCATGGAGGAGAAGAACAAGGAGCGAGATAAGGAGCTGCTGAGCAGAGACAGCCCACGGCCCGGGGCAGCAGGCCAGCAGCTGCCCAGCAAGACTGAGAAGAGAGAGAAGCTGCCCGTCCGTGATGATCGGGGCAGGGTCCGGATAGCGGGTACTCTGCTCCGCACCTATGTCTTCAACATCATCTTTAAGACTCTCTTTGAGGTGGGCTTCATAGTTGGGCAGTACTTTCTCTATGGCTTTGAGCTGAAACCCCTCCACCGTTGTGACCGGTGGCCCTGCCCCAACACAGTGGACTGCTTCATTTCTAGACCCACCGAGAAGACCATCTTCATCATCTTCATGCTGGTGGTGGCCTGTGTGTCTCTCTTACTTAATATGCTGGAGATCTACCATCTGGGCTGGAAAAAACTCAAGCAGGGCATGACTAACCGTTACAGCCCACATGCCGCTGAGACCAGTATAGTGGCCACCAAGCCTAGCGCCATTAATCCACTCCTCCTCCCCTCCCAGTCTGCCCCACCTGCTGTCACCATTGGATTTCCACCTTACTACACCCATTCTGCCTCTTCCCTGGGACAGACAATGGCCGTGGGATACCCAGGAGCCCCTCCACCAACGGATTTCAAAATGGTAGCACTGTCTGAGGAGCACCGGAAAGGCCATCCTGCTGGTCACTACAACTGTCACCACCTGCTGATGACAGAACAGAACTGGGCCAACCAGGAGGCTGAGCAACAGGCTTCTGGAAGGAAGACCTGCCCACCGGCACCCACCTCTGCATCCTCCTCTCATCTAAGCAGCACTCCACAGCTCCCGCTGGAGAGCAGGATAAGGAGTCCAGTGCCTCCCCTGCTGGTGACTGGGAGCACCAGCAGTCTGGGAGAGAGCAAGCTGGAAGTGAATGCCAAGGAGCAGGCGCAGACAGGCACGACCAGACTGGACATGCACACTCCTCCCCTGCTCCTTGGAGACCCGGGCTGGGCCAGCAAGGCCAGTAAGTCCAGCAGTGGGCGGGCCAGAGTAGATGATTTAGCCATCTAGTATGTCCTCTGTGGACAACTTCATCATAATCTCAGTTCTAAAATCCAAAACCAAAGTGCAGATCAGACTGGTGAGTAACAAGAGACCAGAAGTGAGGGAGCAGATGGAATAGAAGAGACCAGGTTCCTCAGCTTTAATGTGTGCAATTCTTAACCCTGTGGCTTACAGTCGGGTAACATCTGCTTTTTTTTGACACGGAGAGGTGGGTGCAAAGTGAAGTTCCAGGCTCAGCCTTTAATGACATTCACAGCAACCCAACCACCAGAGCCGAGGGCTCAGTGTTCTGTGTCCCTGGGCTCCCATGGCACTGTGGCAGCTGTTGCGTGCAATAAAGCTGCAGGGCCCTGCACTCACGTCAGCTTTGGACAATTCGGTTTGCTGTTCCCAAGCTGTCCAGAGCTCTGGGCACCCGAAAGTCCGCAGATGTACTTAGCTCTATCTCTACTGATACTTTTAACTTGGAGTTGAGTTTCACTTGGGATGTTTGCCAAACTGAACTAAAAAAAGATTTAGGCCAAGTCCATGTGGTCCTTTAGGCCCTTAGTGTCATCTGAGTTTCTGAAATTGCATGTGAAGGCCGGGATATCAAACTGCACATTTCATGACAAGTGACGATGAGCAGGTCCCCTCTAGAGGTTGAGTCTCTGGTTTGAGCAGGTGGGACTGCAGCTCCTCTCAAGATAACCTTCAGCCACTGAGGGAATTGAGATAAACCAGGGCAGCACTATGGATTGAATTCTATCCCCCCAACTACGTGTTGTCAATCCCAACCACTGTGCCAGTGGTTTTAATCACATTTGAGAATCGGTTGTTTTTCTTATGTTGATGCAACAGGATTAGTAGAGATGTGTCATGAGTTACCTGCTTATAAAATGAACAGATTAAGTAAGCAGAAATAGGAGAAGAGAGATGCTAAGTCAGAGGAACAGAAGAGACAAAGACTTCCCTTCAGAGCTTATAGACAGAGAAAGCCTTCTCTGATCAGCAGTCAGAATTCAGACATCTAGCCTCCTAAACAGTGAAAGATTACATTTCGGTTTAAGGCCATCCACTTGTGGTGTCTCTGTTACAGCAGCGCTGGATAACTAAGACAGAACTTGGTACCAGAAAAATGAGGTGCTGCTCTAACCACTGCAATGTGCAAGCGGTTTTGGAACTGGGTAATGGGTAGAGGCTGGAGAGGTTTTAGGTGTAACAATAGTAAATGCCTTGATTACCTTGAAGAGACTGTTGGTAGAATTATGGACGTCCAAGGCAATTCTGGTAAGGGCTTGGAAGGAAGGAAGGTAGAAGAAAGCCTCTTATCATTTTAGAGAATACTTATGGCACCAGCAATAAAGTGTTCCTAGCAATGTGGACATTCAATGTGCTTCTATATTAAATGTGTTTCTGGTGAAGCTTTAGAAGAACGTGTTGGACATGAAGGAAGGGCGATGCTTTTTATGCAGGAACAAAGAACATGTCTGAATTCTGTTCAAAAATATTTGATAGGAGGTTTAACTTGTAATTGATGAATCTGAATGAAATTTCTAAGCAGGACCTTAAAGGGGCCGCACGGCTTCTCCATGCAGCTGGTCGTAAAATACAAGAGGAAAGAGATGAACTTAAAATGAACACGGAGCTCAACGATTTGGAAAATTCTGTTGTACAAACTAAGGACATGTGTCCTAGAATGTTCATAAAACACATAACTACACAATCTTTTGTAAAAGAAATTAAGCCTGTGACTCATGCGTGTAACCTACCACCACAGCAGAAAACCCATCAGCATAATTTGATAGCAACAGAAAAAGAATGAAGGGAAGGAATGCTGTCTGCCTCATGGAATTCTATAGGCAAGAATAGGTCAAAAGATCTCCATCTGGTGTTCTCCAAGAAAAGGGCCATCCTTGGAGTAGCTTGGAGGTAAGCAGAACTGTTGGGAGGAGCACAGGAAGCAGAGTCTTTTCTGTGTCAAAGGGTGGGGCCATGGTCTCCCGGGTCTCAAAGAATCCTCCACAGTCTCCTAGGTTTCAGAGTTGGACGTTGGCCAAATTAGTTTTGGAGTGTAGGGCTGTGTTAAGATGTGATCAGGGAAGAGGATCAGCACCCAACGCTTAAGGCACAAGGCTGCCTGCCGTGCACAAGGGACAGAAGAACAGGGTCCAGGATGTTGGGTTACAAACTCAGATAGACTAGAGAATGGAGCCACCTACGTCAAAGGAGCAGAGTTGTCATCGCAGAAGGACTAGAAGACATAGCTACAACTCAGGACCAAGGAACTTGCAGAGGCCATGGCCAACACCCAGAGTCCAGAGGGCTGGCCATTGCCCAGGTGATCTCAGAGGAGATAGGATCATTTTCAAGCCTTAAGAGTTATTGTAATTGTTCTGCTGGGTTTGGGATCTACTTGATGTCTACTATCCCTTCTTCCCCGCCAGTTTCTCCCATTTGTAGTGGGAAGGTCGACCTTGGCCTCTTCCACCATTATACTTTGGCAACAGATAACTTGTATTCCAGACTTCACAGGATTACAGATGAAGAGGAATTTTGTCCCAGGATGGAATAGGTGCCGAAAGTCTCACATATATTTGATTTAGATGATTCAGAAGATGAGATTTTGGACTTGGAATTGCTTAAAGACTTTGGGGATGATCGGATGGGATGACTGTGTTTTGCACGTGACAAAGACATGAATTGGGGAGGGGCAGAGGGTAGAATATTATGGACTGAGTTATTTCTCTAAAAAATATGTATTCTAAATCCTAACCTCTATGCCTATGTTATAATCCCATTTGGAAGTGAGTTGTCTTTGTTACATTAGTAGGCAGGGGTGCTCTAGGGTATGTCTTTGGTCAGTCTCTTATAAAATATAAAATGCGTAAAATAAGCAAGCAGGTTTGGAGCAGAGAAATACCAAGCTACAAGAAGATCACCCAGGAGCAGAAACTCAGAAGAAACAAGGACTTTCCTCCTGGACTGACAGAGAGAAGTCTCCCCCTACAGCACATGCCCCGAGTTCAGACTTCCAGCCTCCTAAACCATGAGAAAAGCCACCCCTTTGTGGCATTTCTGTTATAGCTGCCCTGGACAGCTACGATGGACAAGTATACCTTAGGTATTCATTGTGAAAATGGCATTTTGAGCTTTGATCGGAAATGCACAAGTAAGCCTATTTTTTCCACTTCCTAAATTTCAAGAAAAAATTTAAGACTGTTAAAGTGGATAATGATCAAGAGAATACTAGTTAGTCCCAGATACATAAGAAAGGATTTGAACTTTCTTTTAAGAGAAATTCTTCTACAAGGTTAAGTCAGCTGATTATCATGAAGATGTCCTTTATATGAGTATATAAAAGCAATTAAGTGCATATCAAATATTTGAAATTGCGAAGTTTTTCCATGGGAGGTTAAAAGTTAACTACTGTTGCCAGAAAAATTGTTTGTTTAAACCAGGGGTGGGGAGAGTCCTGCCCAAGAGCCGTATACCGCCCATGACGTCATCTGCTCTGGCCTGCCAAGGTACCTGCACTTCCAGTCATCACATTGTTGTTGTTGTTAAGTGCCACCCAGTTGTTGCTCACTCATAGCCACCCTGTAAGGGTCTCCGAGGAGCGGCTGGTGAGTTTGAACCACTGACCTTGAGATTCAAATGACTTTGTGGTCCAGTGCTTATCCTATAGCGGCCACACCAGGACCCCAGCCTAGTCTTCTTATCTTTCTTTCTTTTTTGTTTTTTTTTTTAACAATATGAAATAAAACATGATTCTTAACCATTCTTTGTGGGCAACCTGTTTGCTTTTTAATGTGCCAACAAAAATATCTTGCATTTTCCTTCCTGTTGTTGTTGTTACGTGCCGTGGAGTCGGTTCTGATTCATAGCGACCCTGTACAGGGTTTCCGAGGCTGTAAATCTTTATGGGAGCCGAAAACCTTATCTTTCTCCCGCGGAACAGCTGGTAGTTTCAAACTGCTGACCTTGTGGTTTGCGGCCCGATTCGTAACCACTACGCTACCAGAGCTCATTTTCCTTCCTAGTCAAGTGCAATTGCTCCATACAGATGGAGCCTATTTTTCATCCCCACACAGAGTGCTGCCCTGACAGGGAGGTTATATATATACATGGGGGGGGGGGGGGGGGGGGGGGGGGGGGGGGGGGGGGGGGGGGGGGGGGGGGGGGGGGGGGGGGGGGGGGGGAGGGGGCAGGCTGGAACATGGCCAGATCTTCTGTATGTAATATCTTGTCACTATGTTTATAAGTCCATGAATAATGAGTGTTGAGCCTGACCTTAGTCACACTTTAACCTCCAACGTCCACTCTCACCTGTTGCCACTGAGTCAGTTCCAACTCATGAGAACCCCATGTGTTACAGACAAGAACTGCCCCCAAATGAATTTTGAGCTGTAATCTTCACAGAAAATAGATCATCAGCCCTTTCTTCTTCAGAGTGGCAGGATGGGTTCAAACTGCCAACCTTGCGGTTAGCAGTCAAGCGTAAACCATTCGCATCATCCAGGGGTCTTATCCATTGATATTGTTGTTGTTGTTGTTAAGTGCCGTCGAGTCAATTCCAACTCATAGCAACTCTATATAGGGTTTCCGAGGAGTGGCTGTTGAGTTTGAACCACTGACCTTGTGGCTCAAGCCGACCTTGCAGTCCAGCGCCTTAACTCGCAGCACCACACCTATCCCTGATTCAGCAAAAGACCACAGCTTTGCTACAACATTTTCATTTCTTCCTTATTTTCTGAATTAGTTTCCGAATGATGGATTTGGTGCTACAGGCCACAACATACTTGGTTTTAAATTATAAAATGTGCTCCACTAACAATCTGATGAAAAAAGATGTCATTTCCCATTCTCAGCTTAGCTGTATGTGGTGAAGGACACAAACCGTTCACTAGCGTGTTACACTTGATGTTGTACTAACTGGACAATCTTCTAGACTTGAGAAGTGCCCTCTGTCCTTCTGTATCCTTGCAGCCTTTCACAACCAGACTGAGAGAGAGAAGTGAACCCTA